CGACCCCATGGACAATGTTCCTCCAGGTCTTCCTGTCCTCTACCATCTTCTGGAGTCCATTTAAGTTCACACCTACTGCTTCAGTGACTCCATCCAGCCACCTCATTCTCTGTCGTCCCCTTCTTCTATTGCCCTCAATCTTTCCCAGCATTAGGCCCTTCTCCAGTGAGTCCTTCCTTCTCATTAGGTGGCCAAAGTACTTGAGTTTCAACTTCAGGATCTGGCCTTCTAAAGAGCAGTCAGGGTTGATCTTCTCTAGGACTGACCGGTTTGATCACCTTGCAGTCCAGGGGTTGCAGGAGTCTTCTCCAGCACCATAGTTCAAAGGCCTCAATTCTTTGGTGCTCAGCCTTTCTTATGGTCCAACTTTCACAGCCATATATTGCAACTGGGAAAACCATGGCCTTGACTATACGCACTTTTGTTGGCAGGGTAGTACTATTAAATACTAATGCATGATAATGTTGAAGCAAAAATAACTCTGAGGTTCCAGATACCAGTTCATCGAATTAAACAATAATTTCCCCAGCCAAACCCCTCCCCACTTTCACGTAGTCCAGGTAAGCAATTTCACTTTGTTATGGGAACCGTCTGCTTCCTCTCCACACCTGCTACGGTGTCCTTGAAAAGGTTTCAGGCTCTCGCGGTCTTCAGCGAAATCATAGAGGTTTCGTTTCTCCATCTAACCCATTCTAAAGCAACACCTCCCCCCCCCGAGGCTAATGGCAAGTTGAAACGAAGAAGGACGTAGCTGCCAAAGTTTCATTCTTGACATTGGCTTTATGAAAGGCTGCTTGTTACCAGTCAAAGCTTGGAGCTAGGTTACACTATCAAGTGGGGACCACCCTAGACAACACTTCCAGTCCTCCCTGGTTTTCACCCTTTGTAGGTCATTTCCCTTTTGCTTCTTCAGGTTCAAAACTTTTTATTCCTAACCTGGTCTGCCACAGAAGCAGCAGAGGGAAATTTACACAATATTTACCTTCCATGATGTGGCCATTCCCAGCTAGAAATTCTACAAGGGACGATCTCGAAAGATCTGGAAGGCATTATGTTGCGTAGGATTAGCCTATGCCAGGGGTAGGCAACCTTGGCTCTTTTATGACTCGTGGACTTCAACTCCCTGAATTCCTGAGCCAGCATGGCTCAGCTTGGAAACCTCTCCTGTTTCCCTCAGCATGGCTGGCTCAGGAATTCTGGGAGTTGAAGTCCACGAGTCATAAAAAAGCCAAGGTTGCCTACCCCTGGCCTATGCCATTTTGAAACAGTCAGGCATCTGGCTATCTGGCTAGTACCTTTATTCACAAAATCCAACCTGAAGACATTATTTTGGACCAGGAGCTGGCGACATATAAGGCACATTCCCAAATGAAATTAAGACTGTAGCCTCACCTGATTAATTCATATGTTTCTCCAAGGAGAGGGTTAAACGGTTTGCCTGTTCTCTCCCACTGAGCGGCGACAGCAGACACGGCGAAAGCAGCAACAGCCTGCAAGATGCATGATGGGTAAGAGTTTCTCCCACAAAACAGAAAATAACCCAACTTGCATTCTTAATTATTAATGAAACAACATAATGAAACAGTATTGTTAATTTTCAAATGCTGCTATCCAGTTTCCCCCCACAATTTGGGAGTGACCGGCACACACTGAAAATATTAATAAACACACTGTGGGCACACTTAGTGCTAACTGATGGGCGCATTCACAAAATGATTGCTGGGGAAAGAGTTCCTCCATTCATAAAAAGGCCGATTTAGGCAGATTCCTACTGTCACTTCCTCTAGAATAACGATCATGTCGCTTTTTTCAGTGCCACGGTAACTTCAAACAGTCACTAAACAAACGGTTATAAGTTGAGGACTATCTATATAGGCGTTTCCCCCATTCAGATCCATAAACAGGACCTTGCGTTTTTTTCCCCAAATTCCCTATCCCATCCTTAATGTGCCTCCATCATTTTTTTCCTTTCCTTCCATACCAAAAATCCAGAGCAGTTATTTCGTTCAGAGAAACCCTGACCGCGTATAATTTAATTGCCCTTTCTGATACTTTTTCCCAGCTCTTAAATATTTAGTTCATGAGAAGCATTCTAATTACTGTTCCAAGTGTGGCTGCATGATCAATTAATTCCTCTTCTAATGATCTCCAACGTGGACTTTGCATTTTTGATAACAGCATCTCAGTAGGTCAACGGTTTTCTTGTGAGTGATACCACAGTGTGGGAGAATGACCTACGGAATGATCAGATAAGAGGAGAGCCCACAGTTGCTTAACGGTCAGAGGAAAAAACTTGGGAAGGGCCCATCCTAAATGATCAGGCTATAAAGTCGGGAGCGTTGTACTTTCAGACTTCCAAGATTCTGTTAATGCAGCCTTACAGTAAAGTAGAATTAGTTTATCTGGCTGCGTTACCTGTCTCATTTACCTGGGAGCTGACATCATAGAATATAATCCTACAGTTTTCTAGCTTTATCGCCTCTGTAGGACATAGAGTGGCTGTCACAAATACATAAGGTAAATCTGTTAAACCAGTGGTGGGATTCAGCCAGTTCGCACCACTTTGGCAGAACCGGTAGCTAATTTTTTGTTGCCCAGGCCCAGAAATGGACTTCTGGAAGCGACACCCACACAGAGAACCGGTTGTTCACATATTTGAATCCCACCACTGCGTTAAACCCCTTCTTTGGATCTCCATCTTCCCATTCCCCCTAACTGAGTTGCAAGTATCTGGATAGAAATACAGGGAGTTGTAGACTTACAACAGTTCATTTAGTGATCATTCAAAGTTACAACGGCACTGACAAAAATGACTTCGGACCGGTTTTTTTACACTTACGACTGTTGCAGCGGCCCCGTGGTCACATGATCAAAATTCAGACACGTGACTAATATTTATGATGGTTGCCGTGTCCCGGGGTCACGTGATCACCTTTTGCCACCTTCTGGCAAGCAAAGTCAATGAGGAAGCCAGATTCACTTAACAACAATGTTACTAACAACTGCAGTGATTCACGTAACAACTGTGGCAAGAAAGGTCGTAAAATGGGTGCAAAACTCACTTAAAAACTGTCTCACTTAGCAACAGAAATTTTGGGTTCAATCGCGGTTGTAAGTCGAAGACTACCTGTATCTCCCCCCAGTGAAAGAATTCTCATCCAGGACAGACAGTTAAGCTATTATCTATTTTTAGTGCAAATTTCTCTGCAGGGGAGAGATCACCCCCTTCCCCTGATCTAAACTGTGACAAAATGGCTCCAGTTTCTCCACTGTAAGCAGGGTGACTAAACCTTAGTGGTTTTGGAATACGTGATGCCAGTAGAAATCCAACATTGCACTAACGACAAGTACATGGTTTGTATTTTCATACATACAACAGTGTGGCTACCTGAGAATTAAGCTAATTGAAGTAAGCTATAGAGACCCACATCTATGTCCCAAGAGGTAGGAATAATGAATCAATTCTCACAGGAACAGCAACGGTAAAGTTGCATGACTGAGCAAAACAGCACTGACAACAAAGAAACAAACGGGCACGTTCTGCTTCGTTCCATATGGCCTATCGCACTTATCATCTTTTAATGTTTTATTGATTGTATTGCAATTTCTTGGTTTGAGTGTTGGGAGTTGCCCAGAGGTATTGAGAGTCAGATGACATGCAGGTTTCAACAAACAACAAAGACAATAGCAATCTTGCCAGGCACAGTTCAGCCTATAAGTGTCTGTGCTCTCTGAGGTCAGAGGATTTTAGTATCAAACCAGTCAGGAAATCTGTCCTATAGTCCTTAGTATTCTGAGGATCTGGAGCCAGGTACTGATTGCAGATAAGGAAACTTCTAACTGCCTCTCCTGGCCTGGAAAGGCTTTATAGAGCTACAAATTATCTAGAGTCACCAGCTAGCCTGCAGTCTTGGTTGTGAGCTTTCCATGACCTAGCGCTCTCTCTCTCTCTCTCTCTCTCTCTC